AGGATATGTAGCCCCAGTTAGGTGCTACTTTATAGGATGTGTAAAGTTAGACTTGTGCTCATGGAAATGTGTGTGTCACATGTGTTTGCTAGGAGGGTATTCGGATTGACTAGGGTCTTTGGTGATTCAATAAAATGTGGGGGGGAAATGGTATAGAAAGCAAACATAGATAACAGAGACAGTGTGGGAGGAGAACAGGAGGTGGCAGAGGGTAAAAGATAGGGAACCAAGGATGGGGAGGAAAAGCAAAACATACAGAAAACAAGAAATGGGAGATCATTTGCTAAGAATAACATATTTTTGATGTGCTTGATTGAGACAATATACAGTGTACTCTAGATGGAAAATCTCATTTTGTATGCTGTAATGATGTACAGTGAATGAATGCAAATAAATAAATAGAAGACTGCCAAAGTCTCTCTTCTATTGTGTTTAGTAATGTGATCAAAGGAAAAGTATTCTCTTCAGCTGTACAAAGGAAAGTATCTCCTTCTTCGCAGGTGGTTCAGTGAAAGGGAGGATCCCAGAGAGTCTTAAAATACTAGAATATCACAGGACTGTAATTCTAGACCTATCTAACCAGTCAGGGATGGAGTAGATGAGGGGAATAAGGACCAAACAAGTGGGAAGAAAATAATAAGGAAAATAAAGAAAAAGTTGCGAGCCGGGGACAGTCCTCGCAGTTCCTGGCCCAGGGGTCGAGAGATGGGAGTGGGGTGTCTGTAGGGCTGAGGGCCTTCCTGGCTGATAGAGGGGTTTCTGGCTTGGGGGTCCTGGGACTGGAGCTTCGCGGGACAGTCCTCCCTCGCAGTTCATGGCCCAGGGGTCGAGAGATGGGAGTCAATAAATAATTATTTTAAAGTGGAATAGACTTATCTAATAGTCAACAAGTTCTAACTTTATATAATTGCTGTCTGATTTCTTAAGACTTTTGAAAACTTTATGCTGCATATACAAATACAAGCAACATATAACTTTAAGAATACTAATTAGCATTGCTTTTCTCACATTAGCCCAGTTTTATATTGCTTTGTTGAAGTTACAGAAGAAATAGTTGGGTAAGAAGAAAATTAGTTGTGTCAAGTGTCACCTTTAGTTAGTTCTTGAGCAGGTTTACCAGGTTAAGGCTTAAGCTACGTACATTTTAAAATCAGATTTTGAGCAGTCATTATTATACAGAATGATATTTAGTAGATTTTTTTATCTTGTAGAATTTCTATTCCATTTATGTTCTTACTTGAATAATGGGCTGCATGGTTTAAATATAATGACATCCCATTTTGTGTCTCTGGCAAGAAGCCCTATCTGACTTCAAACTTACACAAATAGACAGAGCTCCTTTTTATTATTTACTGTAAAAGAATTTGGAAAGTATTTCATAAAATTAATAGCCACATTATAAAAAAACAATAACGACATTGACTATATTCTTAAAAACAAGAGAATATTCTGTAATTAGAAATACTAAGAATGTAAGTTCAAAAGGTCACTTTTTAAAAAACCTTTTGCCATTCATCTGCTTATAATGTTTTCTCTGAACTTGTATCAGTCATTAAAATTAGGTATTTGTCAAGATTGTATTACTTTTGTGAAAGGCTACTTCCAAGACTTCTACTTCTATAAAACTGTCTAGTCTTTTAATCTAAGCACTAGAAAAATACACAAAAGAACAAAAATTAAAATATAAAATAAGCACAATAATTTACTCTGTGATAAACATCCATGTCAACATTTCATACCCAAGAATTGTAATTAATATTTATTGAATGTTTACCATATGCCAGATACTGCGTTTGCATGCATTACCTCTTATAATTTAATACACATAGAAATTCAGTATGTACTCTTTTATGTGGGCACTGAATATTGAATAAGTTACCCAATTTGCTCACTTTGCCCAAATATGTGGTAAATGAAGATGCATTGTACCTATGTCTTGTTGCAGAACCCAGACTGCTAATCATGTCATCTCTCTATGCTGGCTCTCTGTCTTGAGTTACATATCCTGGCTCTCTGTCTTCAGTGCAGAAAATAAAAATTTGTAGGTAAGTAAGGTAAACTTTACCTGATAGAAAATACAGAATCTAAAAATCAATCAGATTATTAGTTTTTAAGATCTCTACTTTTATGCTGTGCTTTTTGAGTATGCTAGACAGTTAAGCATTTGTTCTCTAGCAACTATACAGACTGAGAGATCTGTAAGCATTTTGAAGAAAACAGTAACCTGAAGTGTTTCTTCTATGGTTTTTTCTAGTAACTTATGGCTTTATGTTTTATGTTAATTTTTGTATATGGTGAGAGGTCAAAGTTTTATTCTTCTGCATTTGGATCTTATATTCCCAGAACCATTTGTTGAAAAGACTGTCTTTTCCCCACTGAATAATCTTGGGACCTTTGTCAGAATTGGTTAGCAGATGTTTATGGATTTATTTCTGGGTTCTCTATTCTGATTTACTTGTCCATGTGTCTGTTTTTATGCCAGTATCCTGCAGTTTCGGTTGTTGTAGCTTTGTAATATATTTTAAAATTGGGTAGTGATGCCTCTAACATTCTTTTTTTCACTGAATTCCTTTGGTTATTCATGATCTTTTGAGATTCCATAAAAATTGAAGTAACATCACCAAAAATAAAATAAGATTACACCAAACTACAAAACTTCTGCACAGCAAAGGAGAAAGAAGACAATCTAATAGTGGGAAAAATAATTATAAACTATATATTCAATAAGAGATGAATAGCCAGACTACATAAAGAACACAAACAACTCATCAAAATAATAACCCAATTAAAAAAACTCTGTCTAAAAAGATAATTTTTGGAGGAATACAAATCATTATCCAAAAAAGAATATGAAATATTTTCAATACCACCATTGCAAGGAAAATGTGAATCAAAATTATCTCATTACAGGTAGAGTGGCTATTATCAAAAGCACAAAGAGTATCAAGTACTGGCAAGGCTGTAGAGAAAGGGGAAATCTCTTTCACTGTGGTTGGGAATGTAAATTAACATACCCACAATAGAAAACAGAATAGAGTTCTTCAAAATCTTAAAATGGAACTACCTTACTATCCATTAATCCCTCTACTGGCAATATAGCCAAGAGATAGGAAATCAATATGACAGAGAGATATCTGTACTTCAATGCTTACTGCAGCACTATTCACCATAGCTTAGATGTGAAATCAACCTAAATGCCTCACAACTGGTGGATGGATAAAAATATATACACAATGAAATACTTTTCAGTCATAAAAATGGAGGAATCCCAGTCATTCAAGACAAAATAAATGAACATGGAGGAGAGAATGCTAACAAAGTAAGCCAGGCTTGGAAAGACAAATACCGTATATCTTCTATTAACAAATACTATGTGTTCTCACTCTTAAGCAAAAGTGAAAATACTTCATTGCATAGATATAGAGGGTCTAATTATAGATACCAGATGCTAGAAATGGGGTTTGGGGGGCTAGGGAGGATGGGGAGAATGGTTACCAGATAAACCAGCACATATGAACAAGTGAAAAAGCTCATAGAATCATATAGCACAGGCACAGTAGAGTGACGAATGTTGGTAACATTTTAACATATATTTTCAAATAATGTGCAAAGTAATAAAGTAATAATAAGTGCTAGAGATTGTAAATATGTTTGTCTCCTTGATCTGATTATTACACACTGTATACATGCTTTGAAAGACCATACTACACCCCACAAGGATGTACAATTATTATATGTAAATCATAAATTACAGTAAAAATTATTTTCAAAATAATAATAATATATTATTTAAATGGGAACATTTTATTATGTTACATCTCAACAGGTAGATAAACACTGGAAGAGAATCTGGTAGAATTGGATTCATAGGACTCCAGGCTTTTCTCAGCTCTAAATAAATTAGTTGTTTTACCAGACAACTCACTTATCTTTTGTGTGTCTCAGTTTGCCAATTTGTACGTCAAGGAGGCTTGAGAAATCATAAAATCCTTTTTGTTCCCAAACACTTGCAATTTTGCAAATACTTGACTGCATTATAGATTGATACTTCTTGTGTCTGATTTTCTAAAGACCTCTCTTCTACCTTCCCAGAATACAGTGGTATTTACCAAAAATGAAGTTAAAGGTCTCTCATAATGCTAAATTGGACTCATAACTATTGCTAACTCACATGAAGACAATTTTATATTTCAAGACTACACCTGAGAAGAGTAAAGTATAAGCTTACATTAAATTAGACTTGGGATTTCAGATATGTGCCAACCCAGGTGCAAAACAAAGGGTGGTGATATGATACATCTATAAGACAAATTTCTTCCAGGCTATAATTCTATAAAATGAAAATTCCCAAACATTTCCAACTATAGATTTTTTAAACATGTAGCAAGTAAAATAAAAATTTCCTTGTTAATATCTTATTCATAATATTAAACAATGCTAAAAATGAAAATGTGTCATTAAATTTTGGTCATTTATTTAAATCCAAGTTGCTATAGGTGAGTTGGAAATCTATAGCCTACAGTTTTAAAAAAAGCAAAAAAATTCTATTGTGTGCAAACATTTTATTCTCTAACGAAGATATTCTAAATGTTGTTAGAAAGGTAAATAGTATTGATACAGAAAAATATAAGTTATTATAGTTACACATATGGGAAACACCTAACTTATTGCTTATTCTTTAATCCCAATCTATTCATTCCTCTTTCAGAAATCTTAGTCTAATATGATTTGGAAATATTAGCATTATCCTTAGTAGACATCAAATTTTTTATTATTTTATTTTAATTGAATTTAGTTTATACATTCAATCACTATACATCACTACAGCTTATAAACTGAATTTACCCAACATGAATACATTGATTTTAATATTAGTTAGTAGTGGTAGTATTCTTAATTTCAGCAGAGAAGTCAAATGGAATGAATTTGTTTAATGTATTTGGTAGGGCCTGTTCCTTCTGATTCATGCAGAGAAATAGTCTGACCATCCACCCTGATGAATGCCTAAGGCCCACATGCAGCCTGCAGACATCAATGCCCACGACAGATCACTGGAGCAGGAAGCCCATTTCCTGTACTTGCCACCTGGCAATGGCTACCCATGTGTGCAGATTCATAATACTCAGGGTTGTTCTCTGGCTGCTACAGCACCAGAGCTGTCCATCATCTCAGATAGCCACTTGTGAAGGCCAAGAACAGAGGCATTAACATTTCTCTAGGTCTTAACCGAAAACTATGAAGCTGGAACCAGCGGATGACATAATGGTTACATCACTGGGCTCCCACAGACTTGACTATGGTTTGAGTCCCAAGCCTCTTGGCGTCAAATTCACACTGGGTGCATGTGTGCGCATGCCCAAAATTCCAAGAAGAGACAGGAGGAGAAGGGATTCTGGGGTAGCAGTCCACCGGTGGATGCTTCCTTAGTTTTTCTCTGTTTTTCTCTATCTTTCTGGCAAGTTCATGCATCCTATAGCAAAAATTTCTCAAGAAAAGAAAAGAAAACTAAGGAGCTAAAGTGCTCCAACTCATTTAGGAGATGAACAAGATGAATTAAGCAAGCCTCACCAAACTGTAACACCATCAGACCCAATGTATTCTCTTCCCCTCCCCCCGCCCCCAAGTTATCCAGTAATTATTCTTCCCTGTTATCTAGATCCACCTATTATGTCCTCTTCAACTGTTCTGGGTTTTTGCTTTTGTTTTCTTTAAAGAAAAACTGGAGAAAAAAATTTGTGTTAAAATATTTGACTGACTTTCATCCAGGGAAAAATCCTACCCTAAAAAGGTTACAGAATAAAAATGAATTTCAGTTGTATTAAAAGCCAAACCATTTATTTTAAATTTTAAAAAACATAGTTAAATATGGAACTGAGGAATATAATAATAATTCTGGGGTATGAAATTGGAGGTAATATCAAGTAACACTTAAAATGCATATTCTAAGAAATAAGACCACTGCATTAGCTTGAATTAAAATAAAAATATCAGTAAAATTACATCTACTGAAAAAATAAATAACATGAAGGCTATCCAGTGGCATGGTGATTCAACAGAGGGATTCCACATGGCCAGCCACATAGTTCAAGTCTTGAATCTAGTGGCTTGGAAAACATGCAGGGCATGTGCATGAACATGCCCAAAATCCGAAAAGGAGAGAGAAATTTAGGAGAATGGGTGGTGACCATCCTCATGAAGGGCTGCTTTCTCACTTACTTCTCTTTTCCTTTTGGTCCTTCTGTCTCTCTGTTGGGAACATATATGCCCTCTGGCAAATTTTTAAAAAATTAAGACTGGTGAAATATTTTGCAATACATACAACAGAGGGTTAATATATAAAATATATTTTCAAAAATCTAAAATTCTATCTTTAAAATTAGAAATAAATAAATAAACAGGCCACCAGGTGGTTAAGGCACTGGAATCCTACATAACCAACTCTGGCTCATGCCCCAAATTTATAGGCTTGAAAATCATTCAGGATGCATGTGTGCATGTTGTCTAAATCCCAAGAAGAAAGTGGAAGAGAAGAGACTGTGATGTGGTCATCCCTTACGGGGTGTGTGTGCGGGGATTTCTCACTTTCCCTCTCTCTGTCTCTCACTCTCTCCTTTCTGGCATGCACACATGCCCTATGGGGTGGGAGAGATTAACACAATAAAAATTTGATGGAAAAAAAGCCTATATATTAATTGACTTCTTCAGTGAATCCTTGATGAATTACATAATTGTTTTCTCATGTTTCTTTTCTATATATGCATATTCTCATATATGGAAGAGTAAAATTAAGATGGGTACAGGGTCACCCCAATAATACAATAGTAAGCATTATGCATTGGGATCTGGATCCCATATGGTCTCCAGTTCTGCTGGCTTGAAAAATACACCAAGTGTGTGTGTATGCATGTAAATCCAGCATTCTGATGGAAAGTGGAGGAGCGGGATTACTTTGTGAGCATGCCCCACTGAGGAAGAGCTCTCTCTTTCTCTCTTATTCTCTTTCTCCCTCTCTTTCCCCCTCTCTTCTGATCTGTACCCTCTAGCAAAAAAAAAAAAAATAATGAACAAGTATTCATTATCAGTTTAATGTTCAATAGTATTACTAAAGCAAAGCAGTTATCATACTGATGTCTGTTGATATTGATACCAGTATTGATAAAACTTCTTAGAACTAATTTTGAAATTAAAGAAAATTTGCAAATTTTTTAATATTTACGGTTTGCATATTTATGACATATATCATACTAACTAGAAAAATTTAAGACATTGATGAATTACTTTGACCTTCAATGTATCTATGTTTTTGTTATGTAAATAGTTAGTAATGTTTCTTTTTACACCATTAAATTCTTTTTGTTTGTTTTTGCTATAGGATCCATGCTCTAGAGAGATAGAGAGAGAGAGAGAGAGAGAGAGAGAGAGAGAGAGAGAAAGTGAGAATCACCCCCAGGAGGGATGGCTATGCTGTAGTCCCTTCTTATCTTTTCTCCTCTCAGGATTTTGGGCATGCACACACACACATGTCTGGTGTGAATTTCAAGCTTCCAAGTATGGGACTCGCATCATGAAGCTGACCATGTGGGATCCAGCACCTTAACATCCACACCACCTGCTGGCCCCGTGATTAAATCTTCTTTATGCACAAGTCACTTACGTGTGAAAGGTAAATAGTTCATTCAGCAGCACAAGTTCTCCATGCCTTTACCTTCCTCTAACCTTTCAAATTCTCTGAGGTCTCAAAGGCCTCTATTTTGATATGTGTACTGCTCTCCTGCTGCTTCTCCTATCCCCACTCCTGCCACAGGCACCATAACACCATGGTCACTTGAGGAAACTTCGAGTTCTATTCCGTTTTCTAATTTAAGCCAGAAAAAAATAAATTTAAAAACTGGGCCAAGAAGCCCCGAGTTGCCTGCCTGGGAAGGGACAAACATGACCACTTAGCTGAGTGATGGCAGCAGAAGCAGGGCAACACAGTGGTTAAAAAGTGACACAGAGAAATGAAGAAAGGTCAGGGATAGTGAGCTAGGTAGTTTTCTGGCACCTGAAAGAACAAAATAGAGGATTTGACATTCTCTGCCTTCAGGACACCCCCACTGCTTTTCACCTTGGTTAACTATTACTTAATCATGAACTCTAAATTCGATTGCTACCTCCTCTGTAAAGTCCCCCCTGATTGTCACAGGAGGGACTAGACACGATTTCTCCTATTTAATTTTACATAAACTTTTATAAAAACAAGTATCTCGGGAACCAGCAGCTAGCGTAATGGTTATGTCGCTGGATTCCCACATAGTCGACCGCAGTTCACGTCCCGGACCCGGTGGCTTAGAACTCACGCTGGGCGCGTGTGCGTGCGTGCCCAAGATCCCGAGAAGAGAATGGAGAAGTGATTGCGGCGTGACCATCCCCCCTGGGGGGTGATTTCTCGCTTTCTGTCTCTCTGTCTCTCTCTGTCTGTCTGGCGAGCTCACGTTTGCATATTTATGACATATATCATACTAACTAGAAAAATTTAAGACATTGATGAATTACTTTGACCTTCAATGTATCTATGTTTTTGTTATGTAAATAGTTAGTAATGTTTCTTTTTACACCATTAAATTCTTTTTGTTTGTTTTTGCTATAGGGTCCATGCTCCTGAGAGATAGAGAGAGAGAGAGAGAGAGAGAGAGAAAGTGAGAATCACCCCCAGGAGGGATGGCTATGCTGTAGTCCCTTCTTATCTTTTCTCCTCTCAGGATTTTGGGCATGCACACACACACATGTCTGGTGTGAATTTCAAGCTTCCAAGTATGGGACTCGCATCATGAAGCTGACCATGTGGGATCCAGCACCTTAACATCCACACCACCTGCTGGCCCCGTGATTAAATCTTCTTTATGCACAAGTCACTTACGTGTGAAAGGTAAATAGTTCATTCAGCAGCACAAGTTCTCCATGCCTTTGCCTTCCTCTAACTTTTCAAATTCTCTGAGGTCTCAAAGGCCTCTATTTTGATATGTGTACTGCTCTCCTGCTGCTTCTCCTATCCCCACTCCTGCCACAGGCACCATAACACCATGGTCACTTGAGGAAACTTCGAGTTCTATTCCGTTTTCTAATTTAAGCCAGAAAAAAATAAATTTAAAAACTGGGCCAAGAAGCCCCGAGTTGCCTGCCTGGGAAGGGACAAACATGACCACTTAGCTGAGTGATGGCAGCAGAAGCAGGGCAACACAGTGGTTAAAAAGTGACACAGAGAAATGAAGAAAGGTCAGGGATAGTGAGCTAGGTAGTTTTCTGGCACCTGAAAGAACAAAATAGAGGATTTGACATTCTCTGCCTTCAGGACACCCCCACTGCTTTTCACCTTGGTTAACTATTACTTAATCATGAACTCTAAATTCGATTGCTACCTCCTCTGTAAAGTCCCCCCTGATTGTCACAGGAGGGACTAGACACGATTTCTCCTATTTAATTTTACATAAACTTTTATAAAAACAAGTATCTCGGGAACCAGCAGCTAGCGTAATGGTTATGTCGCTGGATTCCCACATAGTCGACCGCAGTTCACGTCCTGGACCCGGTGGCTTAGAACTCACGCTGGGCGCGTGTGCGTGCGTGCCCAAGATCCCGAGAAGAGAATGGAGAAGTGATTGCGGCGTGACCATCCCCCCTGGGGGGTGATTTCTCGCTTTCTGTCTCTCTGTCTCTCTCTGTCTGTCTGGCGAGCTCACGCGCCCTATAGCGAAAACCTCTCAAAAAAAAAAAAAAAAAAAAAAAAGCAAGTATCTCATGTTTTGAGTTATCAGCATAAATAAAATCTGATTTTTTTGGTACTTTAACTAATTTTTAAATTTATATTTAATCACTTTATATTTTTAAGTGTACAAAATGGTTATTTCAGCATAAATACAGTGCATATTAATAAAGTCACAGATATTACCATATACATTATAATCAACAGTTAACTTTTCAGTTTTGGGTCTCTTAAATGTTTTGCTTTTTCCTTGATTTCATTCCCTTTACCCCCTATGACTCACCTCCTCCTATCCACCCCCTCCTATACTTCTCTAGTATCTTCAGTTGCCCTCCATAGTGGTCCAGATTCATATTTCTGCAGGCGGGTGCTCAGTGTTTCCAGCACCATTTGCTAAAGAGATTTTCTTTTTCTCACTGGACTGATGGGTGCACTTTGTCAAAG